GTGTGCACTTCCACACCCAGTTTGACTTTCTAATTATTATTTATTGTGATGGCCTAACATTAAAAAAATTTAAGCAAACATTTTTAAAAAGCAAACTATTTTAGCACATCACTTTTTAAAATTTGTTTCTGGATTCAGAACACATAAATTAGTTTAAAATTAATCTCATTTGTATAATTTCACCAATACAGCAAAAGATGTCATAGTTACTCTGATAGTTAACATCTAAAGTTAACTTGCATGTAAAATGGAAAATACAGAAATAAAAACCACTGTTTAAAGTTGCTTTCACTATATAATTGTTAAACATATTAATCAGGATATAGAGTCAGCTACATGGTATCATGTGGTCAAACATATACCCAATGAATTTAATGCCAAAAGACAGGGTCTTACAGACTCCAAAATACTATCTTTCAAAACAATCAATTCAATTTCTCTCTTTTACATTAAAATTTAAAAGTAATCATAAAGGAAGAGGGGAAAACGAACAAATTTTACAGCTTTCTCAGGGCATGGTGCTGGCCTCCAAGTCCTGCCATATCTTCAGATTTAAAGGATGACTAGGGGCCTGGGAAGATGGCTCAGCAAAATAAGCGCTTCCCTGGCAAGCACAAAGGCCTGAGTTCAATCCCCAGTTCCACCAAAAAAAAAAAAGGTGACTAGAGGTAGGGTAGCTATTGCTAGTAAGCTGCTTGATTTCTTTACATGCACACATACTAAGCCAATGAACATGTCCAAATGAAATACATGGTACTTCCCCCGAAACAGGTATCATTTGGGGTTCACGTATTCTTAGAACTATTTATCTCCTAGGAAAGATGTGGGTTTTGATTCCCCTATGTTAGAGTGAATTTCCTTACTCCAAGGCCTCTATGTAAAAGACAAGATTGAATTGCTTCAACATTACCAAAGTTCTAAGAGCCTTAGAAGATTATTTTGGCATTTTTGACTCTCCTGTTCTCTGAAACATTTGGCAATGTCTCAGAACATCAGAGAAAAAAAAGAAACCCACAAAATTTATGGGGAAAAAAATAGTAATTAACTGCAATTGCCAAGGTAATCAGATTCATTTAAGAAATGCTCATATGAGGGCCGGCCTGATAGCTCAGCGGATTAACGCACCTGCTTCAACAGACACAAGGGCCCGGGGTTCGATCCCTGGCCTGCCATGCTGGCCCTGCCCCTGGGGTGTGCTGAGATGGAGACTGAGACTGGGCATGGTGGCGCACACCTGTAATCCCAGTACTTGGGAGACTGAAAAACAGGAGGATCACTACAAGTCCAATCTGTGTAGTGAGACCCTGTAGACCCTGCACTAAATACATTAAAAAAAAAAAGAAAAAAAAAAATACTGACAGATAATGTATATCAGTTATAGTATGAAAGACTTGGCTTCTGTTTCTTTTTACAGAAAAAGAAAAAGTCATTGGGGGACTTACAACTCACTGCGCCTTAATCAAGGCTGAAATAGGTCTGTTTTAACTTTTGTGACAGACATAAAATTAAATGCAAAAAACTTCAAACATAGTCTAAACATTTCCTAAATAAAATTCTCTCCAACTAAGTAACACCTTGGATTTTCTACACTTTTCTTACAATTTTTATGGGCTTATGAAATGTCAACTAGTCGTTACTTAACAGTACTGGCACATGTGAACAAAAATGCATCTACCGCCATCCTGTGGCCATTTCCATGTATGTAAAAATGAAAACAATGTGAAGTCCTAAACAGATGATTAGTTTCAAAATCTTATCACAGATATTTTCCTATAAACTAATAATGCACTCACACTTTTAAGAAAAAATTTTCAAAGGACAAACCAAATTAACCATAAATGACCATGGTACACTAAGTGAACATCAAGTCATCTATCTTACGAACATTTATTTTCTCATACCTATAAACCACCATGATTAGCTTTAAAAAAAAAAAAAAAAAAGACCAGAGGACAAGGTTCTTAAAAGTTAAAGCAATAAAAGAAAAAAA